ACATTTGCAGCATGCTTACACTTGTTGATCTTTTCATCATCCTTGAATTTAGTACAGTCTTGATGGAAGCATCATTTCTTACCACAATTCCATCAAATTTTCCCTTTTGCTCTAGATTTACCTTTTCTGTCTAAGCTTTTCTCAATCTTTTCCTCTATTTACAATAAGGTATTCCACTTGATTTTCATTCCGGATACCACTAATTTTCTTTTTCAATTCTCTAAAATTTAAAGATCCCTTTACATCCTTAAAAGTGATAGTGTCTCAGCCATCTAACATAGTATCTATGAAATTTTCATACAATGGAGGTAAAAAACATAGAAGAATTAAGGCTAAGTTTTCATCTTCAATTTTAACATCAATATTCTTTAAATAAAAAATAACTTCATTAAATTTATTAATGTGGATATTAATAGACATACCTTTACACATCTTGAGAGTATACTATTGTTGCCTCATATAAAGTCGATTTATTAGGGATTTGATCATATAAATACTCTCAAGTTTACATTGTAACACAAGATTCTTCATCCATGACTTCTCTTAGCACCTCATTAGACAAAACTAGAAAATTAGCACTATATGCTTTCTTCATAAGATTGTTTTTCTCACCATTCGATAAATTCAAGAAAAGGTAGTCTTTTCCCTTTAGTGCCTTCGATGATCATTGTTGCACTAGCAACGTGTGCATTTTAACACACCACAGGATAAAATTGTTTCTTCTTTTAAAATTTTCAATCTCGTACTTGATCGACAAAGTTGCCATAGTAAGATTCAAATTGGTTCAAGACCTTAAAGTTTTGATATTAGTTTGTTATGAAAATTGTAAAATTATCTCTAAAGAGTTACCCAACATCTTACTTAATTAATATAATAAGGAAAGATAGACATCAAACACATCCACAAGAATTTACGTGGTTTGGTCTTTTGATAACTTACGTCCACAAGTGCAGCAACAAATAACGATTCACTGAAAGAAAAATTAAGAAATTGCAAAAACAGTTTTAAACTCACAACTTTTATCCCACTTGTACCTAATTCACTTTCTCTAAATCTAGGTATTCAATATTCTTTAACCCTATAAGATCCATCTATAGGGTCAAGTACAATAATTTTGTCTTAATACAATTAAGATATATTATCCTAATCTAGCTAGATTTAAAGGTTATTTCAACATGGTATACTAGTTTAATTAAAATTAAACTATCCTAGTCAAATAACAATTGAAGACTATCCTAACACTTACCACCCTCTACAACTACAAGTTGTATTTTAATTTTCTTTTCTCTAATAATCCATGTTACCCACTATGCCATTAGTTGGTCATATCTGGAACTATGAATTCTTATCCTTAACTCAAAAGAGAAAGGGAAAAATAATCACCACCGAGGTAATTAAAAGAATAAAGACATGTGTGATTGGAATTCCCCTATAAAATGTTCAATTACCCTATCATATATATATATATATATATACCATTTTTCTTATTAACTATTATTATTATTTCTAAAATACTTAGTATTCTTTATTATTTAATTCTCATTAACTAATTATAAGGTATGTAAAACATAGATCAGCATGGCATTCATATGATTGTAAAAAAATATTGTAGGAAAATTTTTTTAATTTGGCCAAATGATTTATAATCATTTCAAAGGAGGAAACGAGAATATTATTATATTAAATTTATTAGATTATATATGATACTTGAGATATAACCATCTCTATCTATTTGGATATGCGTGCATGACACGCACGCGTTATTTCACAGAATTAAGCTTGTGGTAGCATTGTTATGGAAATCAATGACATTTTATGAGGAACAATTTCAAGACTTATTATTAAGAAAATATAATTTATAATGTAGTTTATATTGCTGTATAGTGAATCAGGACTTGGTTATACATACATATATATATATATATCAAAATTTAATATTATTATAAAGATAAATATGGTTTTCATTTTTAAAAGAATAATTGTCATATATATATATATATATCTACTTTTCACTCGATGGATTTTAAAAACTTGAAAATGGAGAAGAGGTTTTCTATTGGCAACAATTATATATGTGTTTATTATATATTATTTGGTACAAATTAATAATTACCTTTTTATTGATTAAAATGAAATCTATATAATTCTAGATACATATATATTTGAATAAATTAATATTGAATGTATGGTGCTTAAGAGATGGTGTCATTCATCATTCCTTTTTGTTACGTTTATTATGCCGGCAGTGGCACATCCAGGTTCGAAAGTCAACTTGAATAATTCCACAGCTAATGAGTAACAATGTGACATCTATTAAATAAATTCTTCCACTCTTAGCCAATCATCCTAGCCATATGTTGATAATGGTGTGCTGTACTACTGATTTGAAACTCTTCATATCTCCTAGGTAATTATAACATTTTAATTATAACAATAATGATAATAAAAATTACAATATATACTAGCTAGCTATATAAAGAAATTAATATCACGTAGCGTTTGTTTTTTTGGAAAATTAAAGAAATATATATATAGCATAAGTATATAATACAATTGAAAAATAAAATTAAGAAGATAAAGGATGCAAAGCTTATCACTCCGAGGCCCAATTTAAGGGGCCATCATATCATCACACAGTATGATGAAGACTTGTTAATATATATTTTGTTTTCTATATTAATTAGCACTGTTTCTTCAAGCTGGCTTGAAGGTGCTGGCTCCGACGAATTAATTAAAGTTAATCAAAGGGTGCATATATAATTAATTTGTTCAAACCCGGAGATGAGGATCAGAGCTGGGAGGAGTTACCACCTGAGCCATCTCAATGGGAGGAGCATTCATAGCATGACTAATTTGCTTATGGTCATCGTCCAATTGCTTACTGTTAACATACATCCCATACACGTAGGAGCAAAATCCCCACCCACACATCACCGTGGACACGGCCTTCACCCCACCAAAGTCCTCCCCATACGCCAACACCCCTCCCAACACGTTCATTCCCAACAGCGCTGTCATGCATATTCCTCCTGTCAAGGAGCATGTCAAGAACACCATTCCCGCCGTTCCCATAAAGCATAGCTGCCAAGTCACCAAGTTGGCCATGACCGTCGCCAGTACACCCCCTCCCCCTTGTCGACACCTCTGTGCTCTCCCTCTTCATCTCCGCGAATCCCCCGTCCAACGCCATCCCACGCTCGCTAATGCCGTCGCCGATATCTCCATCACTACTTGCATTTCCATCACCATCGCGTAACAGTACACCTTCTTGTATATCATCTCCATAATCGGTAGATATAGCGCGAATAGCAACCCCGCCCTATGGTTGCCATAAACCCTATGAAGTATTTTGCTCGGGTCAGGTCATGCGGTCTGTCACGGCTGGACCCCAGGGCTAGGAGGATTGAGCTCAACGTTAACAGGATGACGCAGTTGAGGTTCATGAAAGTGATCCTTTGCTTCACGATTATTACGGACAGAATGAGATTGAATACAAGTTGAGATGATAGAAGAGGGAAGAGGTGGACACAGGCAGATAAGAGTTGCCCAAGAAAAAGAAGGTTGTTTAAGCCTAGCATGAGGCCTATGAATATGGACAAGATTAAGATTCCGGGAGTGAAACGAGAGAAGGGCTTTCTCTGAGTGCATTTGAACAGATAGTAAGGGAGGAAAATGGGAAGGAAAAGGAGAGGGAATCCTGCAGACTGAACCCATGTGGAAACCCATCTGTTAGTGCCTTTGTGGTTGAAATAGTACTTTGAGAGCAAGCTTGAGGATACAGAACCCACAAATAGGCACGTATAATTGATCAACAAAAGAGGAATATAACGCTTGTTTGAGATGGCCTTTTGGTCTTCTTCACCAACATCATGGAATTGGTCCTGGCTGGTAGTGTTGTTGTTCATGGCTAGCTAGCTGTACGTAAGCTAGAGATTAGAATGGTGATAATATAGTTATGTCGCTGCTTCGAAGGCTGTGGTTTTGGAAGAAGTGGGCAGTGCTAGCTAGCTGCTTCTGCTGATCAGAGCTCCATTAAAAGGGTGCTGAACCGGGGGGACGAATCTTTGTCTTTTTAAGGACGGACGAATGGGTACTGTTTGACTACAAGACAAAAGAGCGTTTAAAGGCCCGTTCACTAGTGACAGTACTGCAAAGAGTGGCTCCCAAATTTTTATTACAAAGCAAAGCATTATTATTATTATATGTATTAGAATTAGAATAATAATATCTTTTGGCAAAGGGAACAAGAAAAACAATTAAACTAAATAATAAAAGTATATATATATATATATATATAAATAAAAGAAGAGCAAGAAACTCCTCTGGTCATGCAAAAGGGCAAAGGCTGAGCTGCAATTGGCGCGGATGAACACAGTAAAATGCCATCAAGTAAGATCCCAAAAGCATTAAAGAAGAGGGACTCCATCAAAAGGACTTATTCCAAACCTACCTACTGTTGACATGCACATGCTTTTAATTAGTTTGCACTGCAGCTAACAAATTTTCATAGTATATAATAATAATAATAACATATCAGGTCTCCTATCTCTCGTTCACGTCTTAATTCTTCTTTTGGTTCTTCTTCTTTTACAATATTACTCAATTTGTCCAAACATTCATAGGCACAGGCTTCTTTCCTTTAGCTTGATAGGCGATGCCACCACCAACCGGTAAAATGGTTTGCGGGCCTTGGAATGTACACTCGAATTCATGCAAAACTAACACATTTGTAGTTCTAAACTGGGAATTTCGGCCCAATTTTGCAATTTACGGCTCAGTCCAGGAAAAAACCCATCAGTTGAAAAGCCCAAATAAATAAAATGGGCCACCGAAAAGCCCAGAAAGCCTCACTACCTATCGATCTGTGAAGTGGGCCGGCCGACTGCGGAGTGGAGTGCTTGGGGCGGGAAAAAGTGATGGGCCCCACAGAAAATTCCCGCCACATGAGGGGACGGAGTCAAAAGAGCTGAGGGAGCCTGGTCAGTCCGTCTGGTGTTAGTAGCAGTTAGCAGGGTATACGGACAGCAAAGAAAGAGAAGCAAAAGCCTCACGAGTTCTGGAAAAGAATGGAGGCGTACGGGGGATGCTTTGTAGATGACAAGGCAATTAGAGTGGAGAACATATTCCTCGACTTCCTCAAGAGGTGAACTTTCCATTTTGATCTTATGCGATCTGAATCTGATTTGATTACTATGGAACATTTTTTCAGTAATTTCTACATTTTCTTTCTTTCCTTTTTTTTTTTTTTAAAACAGCTTCAGGTTGAACCCACAAATGGGGAATCGTATTACGAGGCGGAGATACAGGCGATGAAAGGGAACGAGTCGAGCACCAGTTTCATCGACTTCTCGCACGTCATGCTTACAACGATATTCTCCAGAAGGCCATCGCTGATGAGTACTTGAGGTCAGGTGCCTGTCTAGTTTTAATTTTATCGAGATTTTCTCCCATTCTTTAAAAAAGAAAAAACAATCTTGACTGGGTATTACTACCGCTACCACTTTTAGATTCGAGCCTTACTTGAAGAATGCATGCAAGAGGTTCGTGATGGAGAATCCCGCTTTTGTTGCGGACGCCGATGATAGCCCCAACAAGGACATCAATGTTGCCTTCTTTAACATTCCCTTCACCAAGCGGTACTCTTTTTCATTTTCATCATCTCTACTAGTCGTATAGATATAAGATAATAGAATGGAGTAGCACTATCCCCTAGCCACATACTTTTGAATATCTTCTCTTCTTTTCTCAGTACACATATCTGCATCAACAGATTTACTTTCAGCAACTCATTTTCTCGGTTATTAACTAATGCCCACACTTTCATTTCCCAAATAAATTAGACACACTCAAATATATACTCCTTTTCTTATTACATCTCTTCAAACCCCGACTGCAGCTTGAGAGAATTAACCACAGCAGAAATTGGGAAGCTAGTATCAGTCACAGGAGTAGTCACACGCACAAGCGAAGTCAGGCCAGAGCTTCTCCAAGGAACTTTCAAGTGCTTGGAATGCGGAAGCCTCATCAAGAATGTTGAACAGCAGTTCAAGTACACAGAGGTCTGCGTCTTTCTAAATTATGTTGCTTCTCTTCTCTTCGTTCTTCTTTTGTTTTAAGTTGGCTCATGCTTTTCATTGTTTGCCTACAATTGCTTTTTGTCGCTACAGCCAGTAACCTGTGTAAGTGCAACATGTCTAAATAGAACAAAATGGGCATTGCTTCGACAAGAGAGCAAGTTTGCAGATTGGCAGAGGGTAAGAATGCAGGAGACTTCCAAAGAGATACCTGCTGGTTCCTTACCTAGATCATTGGATGTTATTCTCCGTCATGAGATTGTTGAACAGGCTAGGGCAGGCGACACGTAAGATAATTTGCTTTCGCACATCCATGTTGACTATGTTTTTGCTTTGCCTTTATGTTCCTTTTTTTCCCTTTTAACTTATTTTATATATGGGTTATAGTGTCATCTTCACTGGTACTGTTGTTGTGATACCGGACATATTGGCATTGGCCTCCCCTGGTGAAAGAGCAGAATGCCGTCGAGAATCTTCTCAACGCAAGAATTCTACTGCTGGACAAGAAGGTGTGAGGGGTCTTCGTGCATTAGGAGTCAGAGACCTATCCTATCGTCTTGCCTTTATTGCCAATTCGGTTCAGGTCTGTCATTCACCTGGCTTATAGAGGGCAATTCCCTTTAAAGGCTTATGCAGTACGTATTGACTTTCTGACAAAGATTTCTTATTTTAGGTTTCTGACGGTAGAAAGGATGTTGACATCAGAAATAGAAAGAAGGATGGTGATGAAGATGACCAACAGTTCACGGTAAATTCTTGGTGCACATTATTTTTGTCGTTATCATGTATCCTGCTGACATGTTCCATTTGTCATTTTACAATTATAAATTTGTTCATGTTAGGCCATTTCTACATCTTAGAATGTCCTTCAACGTTTTGTTTGTTCTTCCTGCTTTCTGAGCATTCCATCTATGCCATTGATCTATCTGAAAGGTAGTCTTTCACTTGCATATTTGATTGTTGATCTCATGACCATCACATTTAGTCATTTGTGTATTTGCATGACTCTCAAAGTGCTCTAGCTGTTTGCTGGATTACTTATTCTGAATTGCATGTCAGAAATGAACGAAAGTATCCAATAGTTGTTTATTCTGCTTATTTTATCTAACTTGTAGTCAGAGGAGCTTAAAGAAATTCAAAGAATGAGAGATACCCCTGATTTCTTCAATAAGCTTGTTGACAGCATTTCACCAACTGTTTTTGGTCACCAAGATATCAAGCGAGCAATCCTACTTATGCTTTTGGGTGGTGTCCACAAGCTCACTCACGAAGGCATCAATCTGAGAGGAGACATAAATGTCTGTATAGTTGGAGATCCTAGCTGTGCAAAGTCTCAGTTTCTCAAGTACGTCTTTTAATTATGCAGAGTGTGTGGGTTATATGCTTGGGAACTTATAACATCATGGTGTTTATACTTGCAGGTACACATCAGGTATTGTTCCCAGATCTGTCTACACATCTGGCAAATCCTCTTCTGCTGCTGGATTGACTGCGACTGTGGCCAAAGAACCAGAAACTGGTGAATTCTGTTTTGAGGTAGCATTCATTTTTATATTTATCTTCTACTTGATAGTATGACTTGTATTTTGCTCTATCTCATGAAAAGTATCTGCCCCCCCCCCCTCCCAACCCAAAAAAAAAAAGCTACTTAGAGTAGATTTGAGTGCTAAAAAAGACTCTCTGCCAGAAAACAAAAATAGATATATAGTGGTGAAAAAAATTGAAATGTGATAATGACTAATGCACCTTGCGACAACTTATAGGAATCAAGATATCAAAACTAATTTGATGATTGACTTTGATATGATGTTAGAATAGACATGACTCATAAAAATACGGTTTCTATGATTACAATCAAATCCATGAATTTTCTTAAATCTTTACTTTGTAGTAAATTTGAATTATACCTAAATGGAATAATGAATCTCAAATTCATCTGCTTATACTTGCTCAAACATGAGTATGTGGAATCTTTACCAATTTTTACAATATGGTCGCAGTCATGTTCAAAATCTATGTGACAACCAAATCCAAAATTTCTAGTTCACTCTCCTATTTACATGTTCCCAAACATGGCATGCTTCCTTTCAATTTTCATTACTGTGCAAAGGATAATGATTATTAAGGAAAAACTATCTTGGACATCTGATTCTGATTTACAACATGTAAACTGACAGAATATCCATTTATACTCCCTTTTTCTTCTGTGTTTTCTAGTTGTCAAATCATTAATCCTTGGCCAAAAAGAAACTCATTAATCAAACCCCTACTGGTGTCTAACAAATTATATCTGACCTATTTCCAGGCAGGTGCGCTGATGCTGGCTGACAATGGCATATGTTGCATTGATGAATTTGACAAGATGGATGTCAGAGATCAGGTAATATTCATATTGTCTTACTGGAGCACAGTTTCTTACATTTAGAAGTCTCTGGTGTCTGATATGCAATTCTATGTGAAGGTTGCAATTCATGAAGCTATGGAACAACAGACTATAAGCATCACTAAAGCTGGGATACAAGCAACACTAAATGCCCGGACATCAATTCTAGCTGCAGCTAATCCTACTGGGGGTCGCTATGATAAGTCTAAACCACTCAAGGTTAGAGCATTCTCATACTGCATAGAAAACAATTAAGTCTGATTTGAATAGCCATTTGTATCTTTTTATCCTGTTTTTCAGTATTTGATGCTGATTATAAGTTTGGTGTATTCTCTTGTAAACTGATAGCACTTCTATGTTTCTTCCTCTCCAGTATAATGTTGCTCTCCCTCCAGCAATTCTTTCTAGGTTTGATCTGGTATATGTCATGATTGATGACCCAGATGATCAAACTGATTACCATATTGCCCACCACATTGTGAGAGTTCACCAGAAGCAAGAAGAAGCACTTGCTCCTGCATTCACTGCTGCACAACTGAAGCGATATATTACATATGCAAAAACTTTAAAACCAAAGGTTTCTGCTTAACCTTACAGTGCACAGGATATGGTTATTTTTCATTACATTTGTGTCACCTAAACGGCGCTAGTATAAATGCAGCTAACCCCAGAAGCAAGAAAACTCTTGGTTGAGTCTTATGTTGCACTCAGACGAGGTGATACAAATCCTGGCAGCAGAGTTGCGTACCGGATGACGGTTAGGCAGCTGGAGGCATTAATCAGGCTGTCTGAGGCCATTGCTCGGAGTTATTTGGAAACTCAGGTGAGAAGACCTATCTAACCTTTTCTATCATTATTATGCACCTTGGAGTTAGAAACATAGTTCTTTTGCAGGTACAACCGCGACATGTTCGTGTAGCAGTGAGATTGCTGAAAACATCTATAATAAGGCAAGACAAATAATGTGTCGATTGTAGAATTATGAATGCTCTTCCCAATCTTTCTTTCTACAGTTTAGTTTTTGTGATAGCTTTTTTTTCTTCACCATGCAGTGTGGAGTCCAGTGAGATTGATTTGTCAGAGTTTCAAGATGATGGTGCTGATGATAGAAATGGTGATTCTGGCCAAGGTGATGCTCAACCAAGAAATGTTGCAGCTGAGCCAGCTTCTGGAACTGCAGCTAGGACTATATCAGCTGTGTTACTTAAATCTTTTTATTTTCATAAACACTTGAGTTTGAGGATGAAAATGAACTATTGTCTTTCTGAAAATGGAGCAGGTTCTGCCAATCATCAAAAGGAAGAATATAGGGTAAAGGAAGACTATTTTCAGAGGGTTACTCAAGCCCTCGTCATGCGACTTAGACAGCATGAAGAAACCGTCAAGCAACAAGGTAAGATCTTTAATGTTATCATAATCAGCAGCTTGAGTGTCTTACTGAGATATTGGATTGAATATATGTGTTAAAAATTTTTGTATCAGCTTAGCCTGAAATTTGCTTCTTTGAACAAGAGGCTCTAATGATGTACCCTATAATGTTTGCTAAACTACCCACCCTTTCCAGCCGTGGAAAATGAATAGGTTATGAGATCCGTTATCTTGAATTTGAGGCTATTTTATTTTTTGCAGACACTGGGCTGGCAGGAATGAGTCAGGGTGATTTAATCCAGTGGTATGTGAATCAGCAGAATGAGAAAAACAACTACAGTTCCACTGCAGAAGTAGAAGTAGAAATTAAGCGAATTAGATCACTTATTGAGGTAAAACTAGTAGTATATTTTATCTAATTTTAATTACCTTGGATTGCCCCATTTCAACAAAATATGGTGATTGTGTGCATCTCATAATTTGGTGTAATGCAGAGATTGATTCGGAGGGAAGGCTACTTGATTGTGCTAGATGATGGTAGGCAAGAAGAGGGTGAAGGTGCAGCACGATTAGCTAGAGACAGCAGGATTTTAGCTGTGGCTCCTAATTATGCCATGGATTAATGTGAAATTTCATTAAAAGTATGAGCCAAATGTGGAAATGCATTATCGGCTCCGCTTGCATGATTGTTAGGATTGCAGACAGAAAAGCTGTCAAGGGTTGAAAGTTGGGTACCATCAGCACTGCAGATTTTGGCTTCACTAGTTTCTTGATTTTTGGGGGTTAATGTGCATTAAACAAGGATTTTCTTCCTCCCTAACACTTTTTCTTTCCTGGTGGGACGAGTAAGCTTGATTACAGATGTTAGTGGGGAACCTACCTAGAGTGAGAATTCAGGTTTGAAGGTGATCCGCCTGTGTAACAGTTTAAAGCACTTTGAGGTAATCTAACAAACATAAGTGGTCTTGAGATTTGTCTTGGTGCTCAAGCCAAATAAAAGAGAGATACAAAAAAAAAAAAGTCAAATTCAAAATGGTTACGTAGGAAGATATCAAGACTTGAGCTGCTAATTAATTAGGGATTCATTATGAAAATGACAAACAAGTGAGTCAAGTGCATTATTCAGTCCTGATCAGTGGAGTTGTGTACTCAAACGGTAAACAACTTCATAGTACGTTTCTTAATATATATTATAATTAATCATGCAGAAAAAGCAGTGGACGCAACGCAATTGCAACTATTTCACATACCAATGCCATGGAAACTATATATTATATGCCCAAATGATTAGTCCAAAATCCTAGTAAAATTTCCAGTCAATGGAAACGTCCGGTAGTTGCAGTCTGATAAGTATTTGCAGCACAGCATCTTAGGCCCTTACGATTGGGAAACTGAGCTCTCAGTCGGCAGTACCAACTACCTTACCAGCAAACGGTTCTTGCAAATAGATCTCATAATCACTGTTTCTGCTCTGCTCTACTAATTAAGGTTTTCTAAGGAAATCCATGTACATATCGTCAAAATTTATTGATTTGAAAATTATGAGACAAATACAAATATTTGATGTTGCGAGTGATAATTTTTAAAAATTTCTTTGATTAATTTTTTCACTTCGTTCTCAAGAGTCACGAATTTGGACTTTGTCTTGATCACGAACTTCGTTGTCGCTTGATCACGAACTTCGCCGTCTCTTGATTTTCACTCCAGAAATCTCATATTCTTTTTGATCTTTGAAATGCTCTCAATCTTCGAATGAATTATCTCTAAATTGTTTTAATTTATTTAGAGATAAATTATGATAACTTATTAAAAGTCTTTTGATTGATTGGATTTGGAATCCTTGAATTTTGATTGACCAAAGTTAGGTGTTATCTCTAAATTATCTTAATTTATTTAGAGATAAATTAAATAATCCAATATGATTTTTTATCTCTAAATTAATACAATTATTAGAGATAATTTAAATGACCAATAATTAAATTTTGATTGGTCAAAATATGAAGATTATCTCTAAATTATTTTGGTTTATTTAGAGATAAATTGGATGACTAATACCTAATTTTTTGATTGGTTAAAATATAAATATTATCTCCAAATTATTTTAGTTTATTTAGAGATAAATTGGATGACTAATAATTAATTTTTGATTGGTCCAATTTAAATATTATCTCATGGGATAAATATATACCAATAGCTGAATTGGTTCAACTATATATCTTTAAAATAATCTAACTAATAAATTAATTATTTTATAATTAATTACATGGTTAAAATATTATTAAATCCATATGACGGCACGTAATTGGCTGATACTTTTTTCCTTCTACACATGCCCCCTCAAGACTTGTTCACACATAATTTTGAATGTGTCAAGTGGACAAGTCTTGAAATTTTAAAATCTATAGGATTTCTTAAAATCCTAACATGACTTGGTATAATTTTAATCTAAGTTAAATTTGACGTATGCTTACTCATAAGTAAGAAAATTATAATTTTAGAAGATGTATATTGCAATAAAACTATTTGAAGAAGTATATTGCAATAGAATTATAATTTTAAAAGAAGTATATTGTAATTGGTATTGCATTCCTTAATTGACTAGGATTGCATTCCTTGATTAACTAGGATTCTACTTTTTTACTCTATAAAAAGGAACCCTTGCCAATTCTCTACACATCAAACATTGGAATCCATAATATTTTAGTTGCAATTGCTTCAATCCGCACAACAATTCATATTTGCAGCTTCATGATTTCTTCAACCATCAAGTAAAGGTAGCATATTTCTTGTTGGTGAAAGCATCTTTTTTTTTTCAAGCCTTACATGGTAAACCG